AAAAAAAAAAAAAAAAAGAAAAGATATTTGTCCATAGCAGCATTGTCACAATAGCTAAAAGGTGGGAGCAACCCAAATGTCTAGAGACAGGTGAAGAATAAGCAAAATGCAGATGGAAAAGGGTGGGGGGTGCTGAGACGTGCCAGAACAGGGATGAACCTCAAAGACACGAAACACCATGTAAACCAGGTGCCCAGAACAGTCAAGGTCATGAGAGTAGAATGGGGGGTGCCAGGGGCTGCGGGAGGGGAAGCAGCATAGGGAGCTGGTGCTTAGTGCTGTGGCTTTCAGTTTTGCAAGAGGGAAAGAGTTCCAGAGATTGGTTGCATTGCAGTGGGAATGTACTTAACAGTATGGATCCTATGCTTAAAATTGGTCATGATGGTGTATTTTGCAAGTGGCACATATAATGGCTGGAGTGACAAAGTGTGATGTGTGGGCCATTGGTGTTGTCATCTCCTTGGAGCTGGTCAGACAGGCATCTGAGGCCCTGCCCAGACCCGCTGCATGGAGACCTGCATTTTTGAACCAGACCCCCCAGGGGTTGTGCACACACTAGGCTTTGAACTGCGGTTGTGCAGGTGCACCAGGGCTTAGGACACAGCGCTTCCCGGCCCAGCATCAGCGTCCTCTCTGCCGCTCTTCCTTCCTCACTTCCTACAGAACCCGACATTTACAGAGCAGCCACAGGCTTCAGGAAGGCCGGCCTCATCCACACCTCCCTGTGGGGGGTGGTCCCAGTCCCCTGGCCACATCTGGTTTGGTTCTGGCCAATGAAACCAAAAGAAGTCCTGCTGGACAGTTTCTGGGGGAGTTTGCTGGCCTTTAAGGACACCAGGGCAAAATGGCCTCTCCTTCCCTTGGAAGTTCCTCAGAAGTTTTCTTATTGGGATGAGACTCAAGCAAATTTTGTAGGCGTCTTGGGACCTTAGGGGCAGTTCAGGACAACAGAGCCACTGACTGATAAAATCCTGGGTCCACTTCATCAATGGATCTCTGGTTATATAAGATTAGAAATGGATTTATTGTTTAAGACCACGAGAGACAGGTGGTTCTTTTACTTGTAGCCCAGGGTTTTTCAGCCTTGACACTGCTGACACTCAGGCTAGATGATTCTTTGCTGTGGGGACAGTCTTATACAGCCTCCCTTGCCTCTGCACACTAGATGCTAATAGCTCTTCCCACTCCCCCTGGGTGACTGATAAAAAAAAATGTCAGGCGGCACCTGTGGCTTAAAGGAGTAGGACGCAGGCCCCATATGCCGGAGGGGAGGTGGAGGGTTCAAACCCAGCCCCGGCCAAAAACTGCAAAAAAAAAAAAAAAAAAAAAAAGTCTCCAGGCATTGACAAATGCTCCCTAGGGGGCCAAATAGCCCACAGTTGAGAATTTCTCTTACAGCCAAAGGCATCCTAAAGAATGCAAAGACCTTTTATCCTGATCCCAGGAGAGCTAAAAATCATTCCTCATCGCTCCAGAGGTGTTTCAAGGATCAAAGTGAGTGGGAGTCTGAGAAAAGCAAACACAACCTGTTACTAATGGTTCCCTGTGTCTGATGCTATTACTGCATTGATAACAATGTTGTCGTTTCCATTTATTCTTAGAAGATTTAACCAGCAGAGGTGTTTAACTTAACAGATGGCCAGCGTGGATAGTAAGTGGAATTTTCCCTCAGCAAAGTCCATTTAGCTCCTGAGACTTTCAGGCTTTTCCTCACTTAGAGATTCTAGACTCTTTTCCAGCCCAATCTTATTGGAAAAAAAGCCATCAACCCCAATTCACTGTCCCACAAAACCAGGGGAGCTGAGGAGTTTGCCGTTAATGCTGGCATTAAACACCATTTTGTATTTATGATACATGTTTTTAGAGATGAAGAGAGACTTTGCTGTTTAGTGCCGGGAGAGAGAGCAATGCCCTCCTTATAATAATGTCTTCACATCTGTGTTTTTGAGGCCCACACAGTCCGCAGACCCTGAACAAACCTCTCTTGCCTTATGTTTCCCTTCCTAGAATCTGCTGACTCATCAAGACAACGTTTTTTAGGAGCCCCCAACTTGTAAAATAAGTGCCCTGGAGAGTGTAGCTCATCTGAAGTATTGCAAAATGTCGTTCAAGGCAAGAAGGCTTACAAGAGAGTTCAGCTTTACAGAAAGATCGGGAGGAGCATAGGGGGTGGGGACAGGTTGTCTGACAGGGAGATAAATGCATTTGATCCTTCATGCCATCAAGTGCTTACCGTGTGACACACACAGAACTGGACACTGGGGCTGGGGGTGGGTGGGAAGGAAAGGCCATTTGGTGGCAGCTGCAGCCCTTGGGGCCTCACATCTGCTGGGACAGATTAGTAGATGCCGGGTTTCCCTCTCACATGGTCCTGTATCAGGGTATGGAGTAGCTATCTCCAAGGAGCCCCCCACCCCTGTCCCTGTAGCTCATGAGCTTTGAGGGCAACTGAGTCCCTTGTTGAGCCCAGAGGTAGAACACATGTATTGGGCCATTGATGTTTTAGCGGGTGGCATATTACAATTGGGACCAGAGAAGGCATTTGTTGGGGGCTTTTAGGGAAAAACAGCTCTGTGTTCCTTTGGAGGAGGTGTGACTTGCAAAAGCAATGGCCCAGGCTGTGGCCCACTTATTTCTACCAATGAGTTGAGGTAAGGACAGAGCAATACACCAGGGAAGGCTGAGTCAGGAGAACTGCCAGGAAATCAGGCTGGAGGCTCGATCAAACCACACCTGATGGACCTCTGGACTTGTAGCAGCATGTGCAGATAAAACCTCCCTATCGTACAAGCCACTTTAAACTGGGTTATTTTTTCTAACTTGCATTATACACACTCCAAACTGACACAGAATCTGGTACCGGGAAGAGGATGCTATGATGAACAATCCATAAATGTGGATCGGTAGCAAGTTGTCTGTATCAAACTAGGAAGATGGTGATCCTTTGTCAGCAAAACCCTTGTTTCCACAGGGATACAGACCTGATGTTTATGGAGCCCGTGGCATCTGGAGATCTTCTACAAAACGTTCAGGATACTGCCTACCTACCTCTGGCAATCTTTGTTAAGGTCTTAGAAGACCCAAATTTAAGGGGAAAGTGGCCCAATTGAAAGTGGAGAGGGACAAAAATACGACTTTGCCAAGTGAGATCCTTTGTGCCTTTGGACTGCAATCTTAAGTGATGGAAACTGATAAGTCCTGGGTTGGTGGAGCTGATTTATCTGGCAAAGGCAACAAGTGGGTAATGTTCTTAGAGGAAAGACTGGAGCCCTGGCAAGACATTACCCCCAACTCCCAGGTCTCACCCAAGCTTCTTGTCTTAAGGACATCGAGCTTGATAAAGGGGATTCTTGACTTGTGAGGAGGCAGCTGGGAGATAGCTAAGGGGCAGGGAACAAGGGTGAGACGACTTCAGAGATGAATGGAGATGCCACTGGTCTGAGCAGCAGGGCTGAGGGCGAGGTGGAAAGGCCAGTCACCAGCTCAAGGAACCTAACCTGAGATCTCCAGCCCACCGACTTGAATAGAAGAAACATTAAATTCTCAATGGACTTGGTGAAGAATGTGGCCATGATGGTGTGAGATTGCCCATCCCTCAGGACCATCCCTGAACTTGATTTTTGGTTTGTTTGTTTGAGACCAAGTCTCACTCTGTTCCCCAGGCTGGAATGCTGTGGTGTCATAACTCACAGCAACCTCAAACTCCTGGGCTCAAGTGATCCTCCTGCCTCAGCCTCCCAAGTAGCTTAGACTACAGGGCACCCACCACAATGTCCAGCTAGTTTTTCAATTTTTAGTAGAGACGTGTGTCACTCTGGCTCAGGCTGGTCTGGAACTTGTGAGCTCAAGCGATCCACAAGCCTTGGCTTCCAGGATTATAGGCATGAGCCACCATGCTTGGCCCCATCCCTAAACTTGTACCCACAGGAAGTGAGGTGCTAAAACAGTGACTCTTCTGAGACATTATCAACCCCATGCCTGCTCAGATGTTGACAAAGTGGAGGACAAGGAAGATACACGCAAACCCAGAATTGGGAGTGCTGTTTTGTCTGGCCAAGAATCTTGCTTCACCACCAGGGGAGAAAACCCTTGCGTTTCTGCCTGGTGAGATATTGTGTGTACTGTTAACCAATGTCAACTGAATGTGTTTCCCATTCTCTTCGCCAAATGGAAACTCTACTGTCAATATCCTTAGCTGTTTTTGTTTTTCCCAGCGTTGCTGCCTCTGTGAATGGTGAACTTCAGAACTTAGTTCATTGGTCACCAGACTGTGAGTAGCGACTAGCAGACGTTTTGGAGAGCATCCTGCATCCCACCCCTCCCCCAAAATCTGACTTTGAATCTGAATCCAGGAACTGGATGAATCATAGGACTGCTCTGAGAGAAGGGGATGAGTCTATTTTAGCCAAGAATGGGTGTTTCTGATGATTGTGTAAGGGAAGGAGAGTGTATGGCTATTGAGTAGCTAAAGAGGTGAACCACATTGCGACATTAGGTTAATGCCTCCATGCTCACCTCCCCTTCTCTGGATAATCATCCTGAATTTGTTCAGGTAACTATACCCGAACTCACAGCTTGTGTAATTCAGAGAAAGCTGACTGTTCTCCCAGACCTAAGACCAGGGCTTAGAGCTGTCACTGAGCTCACTGCTGACCCATGTAGACTGTGAAGCCTGGATGAAGACATTTGCTTGGAACTTCTGAGAGACCAGATTTTGCTCTTCCTTCTTTTGGGATGGACTTGTTGGGTCATACAAGTGCTGGACCAGCATCTCACTGCCATCTCTCCAGCCAAGACCAACGCCAACAGAAAGCTGGAAGGACCCCTGAGAAATGGAACTATGAGCCTGACTGTGCCAGACCTACCCTCACCCCAGGCTTAGGAATTACAGTTTTCTTTATGACAGAATGTTTGTCTTCCTTACTGTTGGAGACAGTTTGAAGAGTTTTCTATTACTCGCAACAAACAACCAACCATTACAGAGTGTGATGAACGCTAAAATAAAAGGATGACAGAAGTACTGAGTGGTTAAGGGAGAAGCTAGGTTAATTAGTTCCAGAAGCAAGCTGTTGCTTTAAGCATTGAGGGTGGGAAGAATTGGAAAGGAACCCACTGCAGTTGATGTTAACTTCATGTTAACTGGTGTGATTTATTTGACCTGTCTGTGGCTGTGATCATGCTTCTCTTTGTCCGTCCAGGTGGGAATGGATAGTTCCCAGGAAATACTGGATTGTGGCAGGAATTGTGCCATCTGTCTCCCCAGTCCTTCAGTGGGCTGAGGGGGTTCTCAATGTCCCATCACACTGTGAGCTGTCAGGCACCTGCTAATTCTTGTTCTTCCCTGCTGCTGTTGTAGGAACTGACTCCCCGGCTGCGGGCTTTCCTCTCGGAACCCATTGGAGAAAAGGATGTCAGCTGGGTGGATGGGGTCAGCCATCAGCTCGCAATCAATTTGATCACTAAAGGTTTCAACAAGGTAATTAGAGGTTTTTTTTTTTTTTTGGTTTTTTTTAACTTCTCTCTCCAACCCCTCTTCCCCTAGTCCTGCCAGATGGCAGCTCCTGCCATGTGTCCCCATGAAGGACCATCAGAGCAAAGCTGACACTTGGCAGGATGCCGCATGCTTCTATCCTACTGACCCTACACGCTTGGGCAGCCTCAAGGACCCGCAGATGATGGGCAAATAAACTTGCTTCACGTCAGAGCAGCTGGGCTGGGCATCATTCGCTCAGTGTTCAAACACTCAGGGGTGGATGGAAGTGGGCCAGCCACTGGAGTCTGGCATGGAGCTGCCAGGGGGTGGTGTGGGCACGCGCCCCACCCCCCAAGGGGACCCAAGGAGTCTTGCTTAGTCTTCTCAGGGCCCAGTCTGGCAATGGCAGGTGGAGAAACCACAGCCTGGAGTCTATACCACAGTAAGGGGAAGTGAGTTATTCTAAGACAGGGGTCCTCAAACTTTTTAAACAGGGAGCCAGTTCACCGTCCCTCAGACCATTGGGGGGCCGGACTGCGGGCCCCTGGACTAGTTGGCTGCTAAGCAGGACAGGCGGCGGCGGCAAAAACTCCCAGTGGGCCAGATAAATGTCCTAGGCGGGCCACAGTTTGAGGACGCCTGTATCATTCCCAGCCCAAAAGTGGCCTTAAAGTTAGCCAGTGAAATCTGAACATTCTTTTCAGATAAGTATAGAAATTATTTATTTTTATGGAGCTGTTTAAAAGCTGTTTGGAATCTCAGGAGAGAATGGGAGACAGTTCCAAAGACAGTCCAAAGACAATGGGAACAGACAAAGGAGGCTGGGAGTTCATGCCCAGCCCTATAAACCCCATCAGCACAAGCACCAGCTAGGGCTTTTGCTGTTAATTCTCTTGGTTTTCCAAGTCAGTCTATACCTCCGGGCAGGAAGATGTCACACAAGCACCCAGAGAGGCTGAGAGCTGCTGCATGCGTGGCTGATGATGTTTGGTTTACATTAGAATCTGAACTATTGTACTTAGGTTTTTCTGAGTGACCCCTGTTCTGCACCAGTTGTTAAATATTCTGACTGTCACCCCAATCTACCAGACAATTTAATATCCAGTAAGAGGTATTGTCATGAACTGGAACTCCATCATTGAGGTAACTGTGATTACTTCCTCCCAGATACAGAAGAGAGGATCATTTCCTCAAGGAGATATTTTAAATTAAAAATTATTTTTTAAAATAAACAGTTGTTCCTTTTACTTTTTAATTTTGATGTAGCATACCTAGGGGAGTGCACATTGATAAGAAGAGTTCAGCTCAATGAGTTTGTGTGTATGTGCACGCCCATGTACCCACCGCCCAGACCCACCATGGGACACTCCAACATTCCAGATGGTTCCCGGTGCCTCTTCCTGGGCAGTGCTATCCCCTGTCCCCAGAGGTAGCCACCATTCTGAAATCAAACACCCTTGATTTAAGGTGCCAATAATTATGGATTTTGTTGTTGTTTAGCCATACTCATCATTTAAAAATATTTTTATTGGCTGGGCACCGTGGCTCACACCTGTAATTCCAGCACTCTGGGAGGTCAAGGCAGGTGGATTGCCTGAGCTCATGGGTTCAAGACCATTGTGGGCAAGAGCAAGACCTTGTCTCTAAAAAATAGCCAGGCATTGTGGCAGGCACCTGTCGTCCCAGCTACATGGGAGGCTGAGGCATGAGAATCACTTGAGCCCAAGAGTTTGAGGTTGCTGTGCGCTGTGATGCCACAGCACTCTACTGAGGGCAACAAAGTAAGACTCCGTCTAAAAATAAATAAAAAATTTAAAAAAATATGTTTTTGTTAACGTATACTTTACACATAGTAAATTTCACCTGTTTCAACACACATTCCTACAAATTTTGACAAATGCATATAGTCATGTAGCCACTGCCACGCTCAAGACACAGAAGGATCTTATTGCTGCAAAATATTCATTTCCTTGTGCTGCTTTATATTCACCATCCTCAGTCCCTGGCAACCACTGATTTATTTTCTATCCTGGTAGTTTTCCCTTTTCCAGCTTAACTTATATGTGTGCGCTCACGTGTGTGTTTGTTTTAATAGTTTAACTGTGTTTTAAATAAGGATTGTAGGTGGGATGAGAGGCAGGTTCAGGATAAAAAATGGATAAATAATGGAAAAATTTCAGGCTTCTGAGAACTTGCCACATGGAGTCAGGGCTGCAGGGTTTGCCCATGTGCAGTCCAGTCCCTGGAGATGTGTCCCTCTTGTGCTTATGGCCTCCTGGCCAGGGCAGTGAGCAGTGCTCCATTCAGCATTCCTAGAACCACTAATTCCTGGCACCTATGCTGGAGATGTCACCATCATCCTTTGCTTTGAACCTCCCTGACCTGGGACTGAGATGAGGGTTGCAATGTTTACTCTACAGACAAGGAGACAGAGGATCCAGGGAGTCACTGCCTTGACTGAAGTCCCTGGTGAGGATGAGAATGGCTGTGGATTGCACTGTCACAAACTACACAGGGTACCTGGCAGGGAGGGGTCTTAGAATGACACACGGTTGTAAGACCCCCTATCAGGTCTGGGGCCTGGCTGAGCCTGTACGAGGATCCAGGAGAATAACTAGAAGTGGCCCCCACAAGATGAGCAAATGTTTGGAGTGACAGTGGGTTCATGGGCGGGGCCAGCAATAAGAGCATCTGGGGCAGGCAAAGAGCCATGCAAGGAGCTCGTCCCATAAGTTTGGGGTTTTCTGCCGGGCGTTGCTAGATCAAAGGCAAGGGGTCTAGTAAATTCAAATTTCAGATAAATAATTTTTTTAGTGTAACTGTGTGCCCAGGAGACAGGGAGAAGGGAGAAGGGGCAAGACCACCCCTGGACAGTGCATCCCCACTGAGACACGGGGTTTTGAACTTGCAATGACTGAGCAATCCTGGGTTTGCAGGGTTGCCATGGCCACCGTAGACATGAAGAGGTAACAGCCAATAATGGGTGGGAGAAAGCCAGAGAAAGTGGATTCCTTGCACCACAGGGTGCTGTGACCATGGGAGTTATGTTTGGTACAGGTGCCAGGAGCTGGGACTTAGGCAGAGCAAGTGTAAGCAGCCTAAGAAAGAGAGAGGCTGAGACATTTGTCTCTGTTCAACAAGGCCTGGTGTCAGTGTGAGGACTGAAGATGTTTTTTAAATTTCAGATTTAAATATGAAGGTACAAATGATCAGGTTACAATGTTTGCATTTGTTAGGTGAGGTCCCTATTGTAGTTGTGGCCTGCACCCAGGAGGCGCACCATGTACCCTTACATTGTGCCAATTAAGTGGGAGCACACCAGTCCCCCTCTCCCCTTTCCCCCTCCCCCTTTCCCTAGCTTGAATTGAACTGAGTTTCTCCTCTTGTGTGGGCATATATTAGATTGTCTACTGGCTTCATATTAGTATTAAGTACATTAGACACTTGCTTTTCCATTCCTTTTTTTTTCTCGAGACAGAGCCTCAAGCTGTCCCCCTGGGTAGAGTGCCGTGGCATCACAGCTCACAGCAACCTCCAACTCCTGGGCTCAAGCGAGTCTCCTGCCTCAGCCTCCCAAGTAGCTGGGACCACAGGCGCCTGCCACAACACTTGGCTATTTTTTGGTTGCAGCCGTCATTGTTGTTTTGGCGGAATTCGAACCCACCAGCTCAGGTGTATGTGGCTGGCACCTTAGCTGCTTTGAGCCACAGGTGCCGAGCCTTTTCCATTCTTATGGTCCACATTCTTCTTAGTAAAGTATCATCCAACTCCAACTCCATCCAGGTAAATAAAAAATATGTAAAGTATCCATCTGTTTTCTTACTAAGTAATATTCCATGGTATACATCAGGTATCCTCAAACTATAGCCCATGGTCCACATGTGGCCCGCTGAGGACATTTATCTGGCCCGCTGGGTGTTTTTGCCGCCACTGCCTGTCCTGCTTAGCAGCCAACTCATCCCAGGGCCCACAGTCCAGTCCTCCAGTGGTCTGAGGGACAGTGAACTGGCCCCCTATTTAAAAAGTTTGAAAATCCCTGTTACCACAGTTTATTAATCCATTCCTGGGTTGATGGGCACTTGAATTGTTTCCACATCTTGGTGATTGCAAATTGAACTATGATAAACAGTCTAGTACAAATGTCCTTATGATAAATTTATTTTGTTTCTTTTGGGTAGATATCTAGTAATGGGATCACAGGATCAAACGGGAGGTCTAATTTGATTTCTTTGAGGATTCACCATACTTCTTTCCAAAGAGACTGTATTCGTTTACAATCCCAACAGTGTAAAAGTGTTCCCTTCTCTCCATAGCCACACCAGCTTTGGGACTTTGTGATGGGGGCTATTCTCACAGGGGTTAAGTGATATCTCAGGGTGATTTTGATTTGCATTTCTCTGATGATTAGGGACAATGAGCATTTTTTCATATGCTCATTGGCCATTGTCTGTCTTCCTCAGAGAAGGTTCTGTTTATGTCTCTTGCCCAATGATAGATGGAATTGTTTACTCTTTGATTAGGACTGAAGATTTTAATACTTGTGGACCAGGCCGCTATGTACTCTGCAAGGCCCTTTGCAAAATGAAAATATGAGGCATCTTGTTCAGATTTATTAAGAATTTGAATGTGGCAGCAGAGCATTACATCAGGTTGGGGGCTCTTCTGAGTGCCAGGCCCCTTGTGACAACATGAGTTACATGCGAGAGAACTCACCCCTGAGGCAGATGCAAATCGCTGCCCTTAGGAGGAAGGTCCCCTAAGGGAGTGGGGGAGGTTCCTCCTCTGCTTGGGGCAAAGCCCTGGGGTGATCCTGGCTGTTTGCACCTAGAGTTGACGGGAATTCTGCCCTTGAGGTCCCATCTTGCTGCCCTGGAAAGGAAAATGCTTCCTTGACTTGGCTGTGGCCACTGTCCAGGATGGTAGGAGCTCAGGGCATCTGTTCAGGGTTTCTGTGTTTCTGTGTCACCCTCCCTGCAGCTGGATTTTAGGAAGCTTCTGCCCAAAGAGGGACAGGGGCCAGCCTCTCTTCTCCTTGGTTAGAGGCTTGCTTATTGGAGCCTGCAGAGAATGAGGGGAACGCACAACTCCAGCTTCCCTGGGGAGCAAGACTAAGCCTTCAGGGATAAGGCGAGAAGGCAGCCCAACTACTGCCTGCTGGGAGATGTGGGGAGCCAGGGAAAGCTGCAGGGAACTTCAGGTGGCAGCTGGGCCAGGAACCCGTAAGACGAGGCCTTCTCCTTACAGCACTCCTGGACAGTTAACTCAGGTCCGTGGGGTACATTCCCAGGCGTCCTGGCTGCTGAGCCTGGTGGGGACGTGGAGGCTTCTGTTACCAGGCAGGTAATGCAGGTGGTGCCACCTCAGACGTGGGCAGAGGATGTGTCAGCCTCCAGGACAGACTGGGGACAGGTGGGATGTGCAAGAACAGTGCAGAGGAAAACAGGTGTCTGAACTTCTCGGATTCTGGTGACTCCACCTGGGGGATGGGAAGGGCAGTACACGTGAGGGTCAGGTGGATTAATAAAGTGTGTCTCCAACAGCACGTGGCCCACAGAAATGCTATTTACAATTAAATGTTATAACTAATTATCATCACTCATGTTTCTCTCCTCAGACAAAGCTCTATGTAAGCCCCTTACTATTGATTCTTATTAATAATAACTATTAATATCGTTAATGTCCTCTCTCCATGGACAAAGCTCTATGTCTTTGTTCTGTTGTGTTCACCTGGCACCTCTTATACTCAGAGCAGCTGGCTCAAGTGACCCTTAATCGATGTTAATTTTTTTTTTTTTTTTTTTGGCTGGGGCTGGGTTTGAACCCACCACCTCTGGCATATGGGGCCGGCGCCCTACTCCTTTGAGCCACAGGCACCACCCAATTCTGTTAATTTTTTTAAACACTGGTTTTAAAACATCTCTGTAAAAATCTCCCCTGGAAGTGGGAGCATACAGTTAAAGTAAAATGAGATCGTGCTAAGCACTATATTGCTTTTTTTAAAAGAAGATTAAAGTAGCAGTTCAAAAATCACCAAGAAATCCTGTCTTTTTTCCCTTTTCAACAACTGGATCATGACTAAAAATAAAACCTCTGAACTTCCATGCTTGGGTACATTTTATGACTAGGATTCAGCTTTTATTTTATTTTATTTCTCTTTTTAAAAAATATGACTTTTGGGCTTGGTGCCCGTAGCACGGTGGTTATGGGACCAGCCTCATGCACCAAGGGTGGTGGATTCAAACCCAGCTCAGGCCAGCTAAACAACAACGACAACTGCAATAAAAAAACAGCCAGGTGGCTCGGCGCCTGTGGCTCAAGCGGCTAAGGCACCAGCCACATACACCTAAGGTGGCGGGTTCGAATCCCCAGCCCGGGCCCGCCAAACAACAATGATGGCTGCAACCAAAAACTGGCCAGGTGTTGTGGCGGGCGCCTGTGGTCCCAGCTACTTGGGAGGCTGAGGCAGAAGACTCGCTTGAGCCCAGGAGTTGGAGGTTGCTGTGAGCTGTGATGCCACAGCACTCTACTGAGGACGACAGAGTGAGACTCTGTCTCAAAAAAAAGAAGGAAATATGACTGTTGTTTGGCAGGCCCAGGCTAGGTTCGAACCTGCCAGACCCAGTGTATGTGGCCGGTGCCCTAGTCGCTGAGCTACAGGCACCGAGCCTGAGGTTTAGCATGTTTTACCAGGAGGGTTCACCCTGCAGCTTATGGGCCTCATGCTAATTTTGTGAGGACTTGTTTTGCTCATTTGTCAGATATCATGAAAAGTATGCATGAACCTTTTTTTCTCTAATTGGCATTTGTGAGTGTTTGTGTGTTTACTGTGTGGCCCAAGACAACTCTTCTTCCCATGTGTGGACACTGCTGGACCTCCTGAGCTGCAGGACAAAAGAGAAATCTACATTTTTATGCTTTCCCACTTAATTCATGTAATTTAATTTGCAGAGCAGGTCACTTGATGCACCTTGGGAAGGTACAGAAACTGAGACCTGGGTTCTAAAGGTTCTTACTAATAACTTGGGCTTTGTGAGTTTGCCTGAGATCACACTGGTGGTTTGTAAAAACACATCCATGCCAAGATGCCATTCATCTGCCAGCCCTATGTTTAGAGAAGCTTGTGGCCCTGAGCAGCGTTTGGAGATAGTTGTGATTGTCACTGCTTTGGGGGTGGGGTGGGGTAGAGAGGCGCCTCTGGCATCTAGCACAATGCACAGGACAGACCACCCAACACCCCTCAACACAGAGGCATCCAAAAGGTTCATAGTGCTGAGGTTTCCAAACCTTGAGAACAGCAGTTGAGAAGGTGGTGGGGTGGGAGCGTCTCTTACTCTGCCTTGTGTGTGTTTGAAAGAGAGAAATACTGTCCCAGAGGCCCAAAGGGAGCCTTAGGGCTATGTGAGGCCCCCACTACCCAAAATGTTTGTCCTGGACCGGCATCAGCTGGGAATTTGTTAAAAATGCAGGACTCTCCCATGACTTGGCTATTACGAATTGAGCTGCAATGAATAATCTGGTGCAAATATCTTTTTTTGCAGAGTGATTTTTGGTCTTTTGGATATACTCCTAGTAGAGGAATTATAGGATCCAATGGCAGGTCAATTTTTAGATCCCTGGGGGTGGCGCCTGTGGCTCAAGGAGTAGGGTGCCGGCCCCATATACCAGGGGAGGCAGGTTCAAGCCTGGCCCTGGCCAAAACTGCAAAAGAAAAAAAAATTTTTTTTAGATCCCTGAGTGTTCTCCCAACTTCTTTCCAAAAGGAACATATTAGCTTGTCTTCCTACCAGCAGTGCAGAAGTGTTCCCTTTTCTCCACATCCACGTCAACACCTGTAGTTTGGGATTTGGGGATGTGGGCTACTCTTACTGAAGTTAGATGGTATCTCAAAGTGGTTTCGATTTGAATTTCTCTGATGATTAAAGATGATGAGCATTTTTTCATGTGTCTATAGACCATGTGCCTGTCTTCTTCAGAGAAGCTTCTGTTCAGGTCTCTTGCCCACAGTGAAATGGGATCACTTATTCTTTTCATATTAAAAAGTTTGAGTTCTCTGTGGATTCTGGTTATCAAGTGCCCATGAACCCATGAATGGATTAATAAATTGTGGTATAGATATACTATGGAATACTATACAGCCTTAAAAAGTATGGAGACTTTACCTCTTTTATGTTTACATGGCGGGACCTGGAACATATTCTCCTGAGTAAAGAATGGAGGAAAAAGTATCCAATGTACTCAGTCCTTCTATGAAACCTACTTACATTTACTCACACTTTCTTATGAAAGATAGAACACAACTATAGCCCAGGATGAAGGAGAGAAGTGGAGTGGGAAGGGAGGGGAGGGGCGAGGTTGGATAGAGGGAGGGTAAACAGTGGGACCACACCTATGGAACATATTGTAAGGGTACAAGTCAAATTTATCAAGTGTAGAACATAAATGTCTTAACATAATAATCAAGTAAATGAGGCAAAAGCTATATTAATTAGTGTGATGTAAGCATGTCAAAATGTACTAAAAAAAATTAACACATTGTACCCCACATATGCACAAATGCACTCATGATCTTTGTGTATATGACTTGATAAAAAAAAAAAACAAAAACGCAGGACTTTCAAACCTTACCTCAGACTCCTGGAGATTCCGTGCTCATTACAGTTTGAGGAGGATGGGGTTTGCTTCTGTCCGGACCAGTCAGCCTCTGCAGCAGCCCTGGGAGGTGGGCGTTTAACTCGGCCTTCCATTCACCAGGAGCCTGTCCCCAATCCTCATGCCCTACTCAGGGCTCCAGGGTTGACCGTCTCCCTGGAATCTGACCTGTCCCCTGCTCCGTTGACTGTCTCCTGAGTCCTGGTGGAGGGGGGAAGAGCACATCTGAGCCAGTTTACCCTAACATTTCCCGTTTCCTTCCCTGCCTTGTCCCCACCCCCAGGCCTACATCCTGTTGGGACAGTTCCTTCTGATGCACAAGAACGAAGCAGAGTTTCAAAAGTGGCTCATTTACTGCTGTGGCGCCACCGAGTATGAGGCCCAGCAGAGTTCCAACTGTCTCAAGGAGTGGTGCGCTTGCTTCCTGTAGACACGAGTCCACGGCTGGGCAGCTGGGCAGCCTGGTGCAAACTGCCCAGCTGCGCCCAGCCTGGATCAGCACCCCCTTCAGCTGATTCACAGATGTGTGAAGGTGAATAAAGGATTCCTATGTAAAGTCACTGATGTTTGGGACAGTTAGCTGTGTAGTGACATCTAATCGAAACATTCTCTGTAGTCTAAAATGTCCTGGCCCTTTCAGAGTGTGCCACACTGAAGTTCTATGGAATCTAGGGATGGAGAAACCGCCCAGGCTGGGTGAAAGAAAACTGCTTTCGAAGTCAGCCAGGCAGCTGTGAGTTCCAGTTCTGCCGATCACCACATTGTCCTGGGTGAGCTACTTTAACCTCACTAAACCTCAGTTTCCTCGTCTGTAAAATAGGACAAGAAGGTGATAGCCCTGCCTTGCAGGGTAGATCCATGAAAACAGTAAAGGATGCGGTGTAGCCAGAACACAATGACTGGCCACTGCGGCCTCTGCTCCTGCAGTTCCCCGCTGGTCTCAGCCTCCTCGACACTCGGTCCTCCTGTGGCACTTGGGAGGGAACTCACAGCTGCGAATTGGAAGGGAACCTAGATACCAGCATATCCAGTCTGCCCAATTCTGTTCCAACAGCTGAGTCCTGGATACTGTGTAACTAGTAGGGCCTATACTCTCTTTCATGGGTAGATAAGAAAGGACAACAGGTAAAAATTAAATTATTTCAGATATCAGCTACGATCTTGTAGGGTCACATTAGCCCACTGGTCCCCAAAGGCATTTTAATGGACACACGGAGCCCTGGGCTCACACATGTACCCTCAACCCTGCCAGTGGAGATGGTTCTACTTGGCAGGGCAGTTGTTTTGGTTTGGGGGGGTTATTGTTGAGACAGAGTCTCACCCTGTCACCCTGGGTAGAGTGCCGTGGCATCAGAGCTCACAGCAACCTCAGACTCTTGGGCTCTAGAGAGTCTTCTTGCCTCAGCCTCCTGAGTGGCTGGGACTACAGGTGCCTGCCACTATGCCTGGCTAGTTTTTTTCTATTTTTTACCAGAAAGGGTCTCCTCTTGCTCAGGCTGGTCTCAAACTCCTGAGCTCAAGTGATCCTCCCACCTCAGCTCCCTAGAGTGCTAGGATTACAGGCATGAGCCACTACACCGGCCTAGGACAGTTACTTTGATCATTTGGGACAGGATTGTTGCCTGAGATCATTTATCAGTTGTCATGGATTTGGCCAGGATCTTAAGCAAGAGCTGAAATGTCTCTAAGGGAGAGGGATTGGACCCTCCTCCCAGCCTGATGTCTGTAGTTGGAGGTGCTGGGACTGTTTCAATTAGGATGTGTAGAGCGTGCAAGCTGTGAGCATGGTCAGGTGCTAGGGGAGAGGCAGGGAAATAGGTGTGAGTTTCTTTGGCTTCCTGGGCACTTACACCCTAAGGGGTGACTGGGGGAAGGGATGCCCACACAGTACAGGTCTGTCTTACCTTGGGCTCTCCCAGAAGCAGACCTGGGGATAGGAGTTTGGCAGGTGCTCCTAGGAAGTACAGCGAGGTCAGTGCAGTGTGTAGCAGGGCAGGAAGGCAGCCAGTAAAGGCGAGTGGACTCGGAGCCAGCCTACAACAAGCGTTTGAAGTTCCCCTGCCCTGGGCTAGCTAGATGCCACTCTTGTCAGTTAGTGGTGGAGGGTTGCTTGCTGGAAGTTAATTCCTCAGCTTCTGAGCCCACCACATAGGAAAGGGAACCTCAGGAGGAAGCCCCCAGGCAGAGAAATGCAGGCCTGACAGCTGGGAGTCCGCTGGCCCCTGCCCTGCCCTGCCCCTGCCCTGACAGGCGGATGGACAGGGCAGCACAGCCAGCTCCTGCCACAGATGGGTGGTGTTGGGTAGACAGGCCCAGCTTTGAACACAAAGTCCACTCCCTCGCCACTACTTATAAGGCCTGTGGAAAGCCACCCTTCCAGCCCAGCTGCCCAGCTGCCCAGCTGCAGAATGGTGATATTATCTGCCCAGTGTGAGGAAGATTAAAAGCCTTGCACTTGGTATAAAGCTTTATGTGCGATAGCTCTAAAAACCCTCCATATTAAAATGTGCAGCACTACTATTCACCACAGCCAAATACAGAATCCCCCTAAGTGCCCACGGATGGCTGACAGGATAAAGAAAATGTGGTATAGATACACAGCGGAGCATTATTCAGCCGTAAAAAGGAACGGAATCCTCTCGTTTGCCCCAACATGGATGGAACTGGAGGTAATTTTGTTAAGTGAAATAAGCCAGACGCAGAAGGAAAAGTATCTCATGATCTCACTCCCAAGTGGCAGCTAAGAAAGCAGGTGTCGTGGCAGCAGAGAGTAGAAGGTGGTGACCTGAATCTGAGAAGGGAAGCGGGAGGGAGGGAGGAGAGGGGTGGATTCACTGCAACAACCAAGAAAGTTAGGTAGGCGCATCAGACCTAGCGCTTGGTAAATCAGTAGAGTGACCGTAGTAAACAATAATCTATCGTATAGTTCCAATTAGCTACTAGAAAATAATTTAATTCCAGCATAAAGAAAAGACAAATGTTTAAGGTGTTGGATATTTTGATTACCCTAACTGGATTATTGCCCACTATATGAATGTATCCAAATATCACATGTACCCCCCCAGATATGTATTTATCTATTATGTATCAATTTTTAAAATCTTGAAAAATGTGCAACACTGATTGCGTATTGTTATTTAGAGAAGGGAGAGGTTGGTATGGACCAGAGTGGTCAGGAAAGATGGTCACTGTGGTGGGGAGACATTGTGGAATTTCTCTTCTGAGGCTTCTGTTTTCTCAGTGCGATAGCAAGTAAGATGACAGGCTGTGTGGCTGGGCGCCTGTAGAACAGTGGTTATGGCGCCGGCCACATGCACTGAGGGTAGCTGGTCTAAACCCAGCCTGGGCCAGCTAAACAACAATGACAACTGCAACAAAAAAATAGCCAGGCGTTGTGGCGGGTGCCTGTAGTCCTAGCTACTTGGGAGTCTGAGGCAAGAGAATTGCTTAAGCCCAGAAGTTGGAGGTTGCTGTGAACAATGATGCCACGGCACTCTACCAAGGGTGACATAGTGAGACTCTGTCTCAAAAAACAAAAAAAATAAGATGTCAGGCTGTGAACTAGAATGGGGCATGAGGATAGTGTGAGGTGGGTGTCAAGGACAATGAAAGGATAGATGGATGTTACAGAAAGGCGGAGTCATTAAACAATATAGACAGACACATAGATGATAGGTAGATAGACATCTAGGTGGATGGATAAGTAGACAGATAAATGTCAGATTAGAGAGACGATAGATCAATGAGAGATAATAGGTAAGAAGGCAGGCAAAAGATGACAGATAAGTGATCAATTAGCTGATAGTAGATAAATGAAAGATTAGACAGATAAATGATAGATCAGATGGAGAAATGATAGATTGGAAGATGGATAGATGATAGGTCGATAAATGGCAGATTAGAGAGATGATAGATGGGTACATGATTGGCAGTCAGATATCGATAGTGACAATTCCTGGCTATCCTATGATATATGTCAGGGGTCCTCAAACTTTTTAAACAGGGGGCCAGTTCACTGTCCCTCAGACCACTGGAGGGCCAGACTGCAGGTCCTAGGACGAGTCGGCTGCTAAGCAGAACAGGCAGTGGCAGCAAAAAACACCTAGCCAGCCCGATAAATGTCCTCGGCGGGCCGCATGTGGCCCGTGGGCCGTAGTTTGAGGATGCCCAGTGTATATACATTAAAAAAATGTAGAGAGACAGTGCCCTGTGATTATCCTCGGGGAGGGGGTATTAAAAGGCTCTTTCACTCACAACTTCATACAGTAGTCCAGCCTTTGAATTTTAGCAGTAAGTATTTTTCCTATAAATCAGAACAAAAGCAGTGGGAGGCCAGGCCTGGTGGCTCACACCTGTGTTCCCAGCACTTGGGAGGCCAAGGTGGGTGGATTTCCTGAGCTCACAGGTTGGAGACCAGACCGAGCCAGAGCAAGACCTCATCTCTAAAAATAGCTGGGTATGTGGTGGGCACCTGTACTCTCAGCTACTTGGGAGGCTGAGGCAAGAGAATCATTTGAGCCCAGGAGTTTGAGGTTGCTGTAAACTATGATGCCACGGCACTCTACCAAGGGGTGACAAAGTGAGATTCTGTCTCAAAGAAAAAGAAAAAAAAAATAGAATAAAAAGGAAAAAAGCAGTAGGAGACATTTCCAGTTTCAAGCACAAAGAATAGAGCTGGAGAGGACTGAGGCCTGCAGGACAGCGATCTGTGGGCACACACCTCTCCTCCTCCCTGGGGCCTCCACGTCAAGGACTGAGGCCTGCAGGACAGCGATCTGTGGGCACACACCTCTCCTCCTCCCTGGAGCCTCCACGTCACTGGTCTCAGATCAGGGCTAAGTCTCTCTACACAGAGGAAATTTCCACTACGATTCTCTGCCTTGAAGACTTTTGGATCTTTTTTTGTCACCTCCCCTCTTCCAATTTTAGTTCTTCTCTTACTTTCCCAAGGTGAAGATCACCTTGGAGAAATGGAGGAGGGCGGTTTTTCTTTCTTGTCCTTTCTTACCAGATTCATCTGTCACAGCTATGCTTCGGTGCCCCCTCCATAGCCAAGTCTCTGGTTTCTGTTAAGAGTGATCCTTATTGTACAGACTGGGCTATTGTATCGCACTGCCAGTCCAGTGGCTGAATCTTCTTGGACTGGACTGGGGGGCCACTGTGGCCAGGGCCCTGGGCAGAGAGAGGCCCTGAATAATGCCACTAAGTGGGTCTGGGACCATGGACAAATCACTTGATTTGTCTGTTTCCCAGACTGTGAAATAAGACATACCTGATTTTCCAATCTGCTATCTCTGTTTTGAAGAGAGTTCAGTAATAGACATGAAGGCACTTTAAACAGAAAAGAAGGTGAAGTGCCCCCTGGCAATGTGCCCCGTGGTTACTGCTTTACTTGTCAGCTCAGACTGTGCTGTGCTGTGGTAACAACTACCCTTTTACCGAAGAACTCAGTGGTTTAAGACAATACAGCTTCCTGTCTCCTTCCCATTACCTACCTGTCTCAGGTCTGCTGGGATGGCAGAGAGGCCCCATCTTAAGTGTACATAGGACATCCAGCAGA